GGGTGCTGGGACTGGCTGAGCTTCACTCAAGACATATATTTTATTATTTAAGAGAAAACTGGGAAAAATTTTGATACCTATCACAAGTCTCCTAGGACCTGGTGCACAATATAGGGGACCTGCATGATTGCACCATGATTCTATTTTCAATCCTTAAATGACTCTTTATCCACTTTCCAAGATGAACTTTCTTATATATAAGAAGCATACTTTTTCTTATGAGAGAGGACTGGAAAAATCTAGAAAGGTCAATGTAAATGAAAAAAATTAAATATATATGAGGAATGGACATGTCTGAAACTGACAGATGCAAAATAAATCCTTTATATAAACAAGGCAGCATTAGACCAAGCTCAGAATTAAAGCTAAAATGCTAATCTGAAAGGATAGGAGATTTTAGAGAGATGTCAAATCTCATGGGCCAGCAAATAAAATCTGATCCAGAATACTTATATTTTTGAAAGGCTATTGCAGAGTTGATGAAAAGGTACATATGTATACAACCACAACCACACACACACACACACACACACACACTATCAAATGTTCTAAGAGAATGGATTCTGAGAAGCTAAATCTAGAAAGATAAAAAAGGATAGAGAACAAAGAAAATCCTATTATTAAGTTTTTTAAATATTATGACAAATTTAGAGTTTCCAGGTAAATTTTCAATAACACACTTGTGTTTATATTGTATTTGGATGAGAGATTGCCTTATTAGTAATTTTTAAAAATATATATTTGTACATTGTCTCTGGAGCATAATGGAGACAAATGGTCCTGGGAGATTCACACAAGATTAGGCTCTTGGGAGTAGAGGGAAATGATGTGTGGAAATGGCCTTAAGCAGAAAAGACTGGAAGTAATTGCACACTGCTAAGATACCCATGAAAAGGTTTTCTAACTCCATTTTAAGGCTCCAGGTGACATAATGGTGAACACACTTGACCAAGAAGGGGGTCCATGGCTTAGAAAATAGAGTGATCCTCAGACTGGGCCTTAGAAGAAAATGCAGAGGTTAAGCCAGAAGCAGGTGATGACCTTTAGAAGGGACGTCTCCCTTTTCAGGAGCTACAGGCAATATTTGCAGAAACTGTCTAAAAATACAAGCATTTTCAATTTTTGTACGAATTGGAAATATCATTAGGTCA